GATGCCCCCAGCCCCTCAGCATCTTCAGAACCCTCCACTGGACTCTCTCCAGCAGTTCCTTGTCTCTCTTGCACTAGGGAGGCCAGAGCCAGACCAAATAGTCCAGATATGGCTTCATTAGGGCAAAGTAGAGGGGGAGGAGAACCTCCCTTGACCTTCTGGCCACATTCTTCATGTACTCCAGGACACTATTGGCCTTCTTGGCCATGAGGACACATTGCTGGCCCATGGGCAACTTGTGCACCAGGACTCCCAGATTTTCCTCTCTCTCCTTGGTTTTGGGCACAGGGGAGACTTGGCACGCTCAGGGGGTCAGTGATTTGGGCACAGGGGAGACTTGGCACGCTCGGGGGGTCAGTGACTGTTCAGTAGCTGGCTCATGGCAGCTGCCAGGTCCATGTGGCACGTCTGTCCTGTGCTGTGTGAGTCTCCTGGGATGCTATCACACCATCTACCCTTGAACAGGTGCCACCCCCATGGCACTGGGTCTTGATCCTGCCTCTAGATGCTGGCAACAGATTTTTTCATCTGCGGGTTGAGCTCACCTTTGCAAACCCTCCCCACCTTTCCCAGGGGAGCCCTTTGCTCTCTTTAAGGTGCTCCAGCAGATCCAAAGCCCAAGCCTGTGCATGAAGTGAAGGTTTTGGGGGGCCAATGTGGATCCCTGTGCTGAGCACCCCACTGGCTCAACCCCCCCAAAGCTGGGTGTGACAGGGAGGGGGGCAGGTCTGGCCAGACAGCAGATGTTGCACGAGGTGTCCCAGAGCACTGGGATCTGCAGCTGGAATAACTGGCTGGGCGGTGGATCAGTGCCAGCCCCCTCCCTGTGAGCTCAGAGGGGGGGTTTATGAGCCCCAGGAGGAAGTGCTCGTTAAATCTGGGATCGGAGAGGCTCGTTAGCGGCCAAGCCGGCAGCGTGACGTCGGGCTCTGGGACCAGAGCCTCAGAGTTTCCAAAGCAGGGCTGTGTCCAGCTGATACGGGAGCAGGAGGAAGAGCTGGGAGGAAGAAACCAAGTGGGAAGAGCAGCTCTCAGTGTTTGTTTGGGTTTTTGTTTAAGGAAGCACATGCACCTCAGTAGGTGGTGATTGGTCAGTCGCTGGGGCTGCTTTGACCCATGACCACCGTGCTGTGCCAGGAGACCCACAGATGGCTGTTTGTCTTGGCCACAGAAGGTCCTCAGAGAATGTTTTGGGTTAGAAGGGATCATTCAAGGTCATCTAGTCCAACCCCCTGCAGGGAGCAGGGACATCTGCAGCTAGAGCAGGTTGCTCAGAGCTCTGTCCAACTTGACCTAGAATGGTTCCAGGAATGGGGCATCGACCTCCTCTCTGGGCAACCTTTCAGAATCAACAGCTTCCAGCTGGCCCATGGAGGTATGAGTGACGCTGGGAGGCTGGGGCTGCTCCAAAATAGGGATGTTTTGGGGTTTTTTTTGCAGGGAAGAGGCAAGATAGGAGTTCTGTGGGGCTTTTGCAGGAACAGGGGTGAATGGGGATGTGGGGGGGCGAGTGATGCAGGGCAGCAGGCAGGGCCATGCCAGGGTTTGGCTGGGGGGCAGATTTGCTGCTTGTTGCCTCAAGGACCACACACACTGTGGCAGCTTCTCTCCAAGAAGAAGAACAAAGATACTTGCCCCCCTGCCAGCTTGCTGGCCAGAGGAGGGATGTGGGATTGCTTTTGTCCTGGCAAAGCTGGCTCAAGCCACAGTCCATTTTGCTTGGGTGGCAGGTGGGAAAGGCAATGGGCTGCTTCTGTGCAAGGTAATCCCCCCAAATTAGAACTTCCTCAAGGTCCTGTCACCGTGCTGCCCCACTGCAGCTGACAGAACCTCTTCCCAGCTTTCTTTTTTTTTGATGTTTAAATTTTACTAAATAATCCTGGGGCAGGACCCTGGTTTACCACGGGCTGTACCCCTGGGTGCTGCCATGTGCCCGTGCCTTGTAGGGACATGGTGATCCACAGCAGAAGCCAGTCCCTGCCCTGGGGACTGGGCAGTTGACAGAGAAAATGAGAGAAGATGGCAGGAGCCAGTGGTCCCACAGCTTGGGGCAGAGCTGGGCTGTCCTGGCGTGTTTGGGGTTTGCTGTCCCCCTTCCTGGGGGTGGTGGGTGCTGCTGGGCCCACCTGATGGAGCTGCTCTGCTCTTGCAGTTGGTGACAAGGTGCCAGCAGACATCCGGATCATCGAAATCAGGTCCACCACCCTGAGGGTCGACCAGTCCATCCTCACAGGTGAGTGCAGGCGTGCTGGGGCAGAGGCAGGTGCTGAAGTCAGAGCTTTCCCTCTGCCATCTACCCTGAGTCAAATTTTGGGACTGACCCTGAGCGAAGTGCTTTGCCGGGGTGGAAAACAGGTGGGAGAAGGAGAATGAGGAGCTGGGGAAGTCTCAGCATCATCTAAAAGTCAAGGTGAGGTGTTCTTTGTGCCTGGGCATCCCTTCTGCAAAACATGGTGCTGTCCCACCCGACACAGGGGGTTTCACCAGGGGCTGCTCAGCTCCTGCCCATGCTCTTCCCGTGCAGCTGTCACAGGGTGACCACTGGTGCACAGAGCTTTGTGACTCCATGGGGAGGTAACAGTGGTTGGGGCTTTTTTTAAGCACTGGAAAAGCCCTTGAAGCTGATAATCGATGATACTTCAAGAATTCTCTCTCTGTTGTCAGAGAAAGCTGGTGAATGATCAATGGACAAAAAGGACTTCCAGGATTTCAGCTCTCTTGTGTGATTATTTTTTTAAAGACATTGATTTAGGAGGTGGCGACAGGGAAGGAAAAGCAATCCAAAAAAACATTAAAAACGTGGGGAAGGGAGCCCAGTCCCCTTGAAACATGGCTTTGCATTAGCTCAGTTCTCCAAGGGCAAGAAGAGATGCAGCAAAAGGGCAAAGAACACCATCTAAACCTCCAGCAGAAGGGCTGTGGGCACCACTCCTGTTGTGCTGCCCCACAAGCCCCGCTGAGCGTGCAAAGCTGCCCTGCAAGCCAGAGGGGATTTGGCTCCATCCCACTGGGCTTTGTGGGAGCTGGTGGCTGCCAGCCATCTGCACAGGTCCGCTTCCTGCAGCCCTCATCCTCAGGGTGCCTTGGCTCAGCTCTGACATCCCCGTGGTGGATGGTTGGGTGGCATGGGGGCAGAGGGCTGCTTTAGAAAGCCCCGGGGGTTGTGACGCAGGCTGGTCACGGTGTGGAAAGGTGGGTGGGTCATCTCCCCCCTCTTGTCTCTGCAGGGGAGTCTGTGTCAGTGATCAAACATGCTGACCCCATCCCTGACCCCCGGGCTGTCAACCAGGACAAGAAGAACATGCTTTTCTCTGTAAGTCTCTTACACCTCTCCCCACCTCTCCTGTGGTTTTCCAAAGAGCCACCAAGTGAAGCGGCTGATGGACACAGGAGATCTTTGAGGTGTGAAAAGGAGTGCAGGCATGAGAAAGCCCCAAATCCATATCAAGGGTCCCAAATCCATAAAAATAAGGACCTGCTTCATTTGAATTTCATTTGGGCTGTGGCATGTGATGCCCTTAAACACATTGGGCAGTCGCAGTGGGTTTTCCATCAAGTAGGATGCATTATGGATGGGGAAAAAATTTGTGGTAGAGCCTGGAGCTACAGCAAATTTGGGTTTCCTCCTTGCTCATGTTCCTTTTGGGCAGAAGTCAAGTCCTCGAGGGGTAAGAGCATTCTCAGGAGGGTCTTCTGCTGCTTTAGGGTGGGTTGGTATAAAACCCCAGGATGTCAGATTTTCTCCTTAGCCAAGATCTCATGTTCTCCTTTCACAACAAGTGACTTACTTCCCCACTCAAGCCAAGAGGTTTCACCCCCTCATGTCCACCCTGGCCCCTTTCCTCCCTCCCAGGGCACCAACATCGCAGCTGGGAAGGCCGTAGGGGTCGTCATTGCGACGGGGGTCTACACCGAGATCGGGAAGATCCGAAACCAGATGGTGGAGACCGAGCCCGAGAAGACCCCCTTGCAGCAGAAGCTGGATGAGTTCAGCCAGCAGCTCTCCAAAGTGATCTTCTTGGTGTGCATCGCCGTGTGGGTCATCAACATCAGCCACTTCAGCGACCCAGTCCACGGCGGCTCCTGGTTTCGTGGGGCCATCTACTACTTCAAGATTTCGGTGGCGCTGGCGGTGGCCGCCATCCCCGAGGGCCTCCCGGCCGTCATCACCACCTGCCTGGCGCTGGGGACGCGGCGCATGGCCAAGAAGAACGCCATCGTCCGCAGCCTGCCCTCGGTGGAGACCTTGGGCTGCACCTCCGTCATCTGCTCCGACAAGACCGGGACCCTCACCACCAACCAGATGTCCGTCTGCCGGGTGAGCGCCGGGGGGGTTTGGGGTGGGGGGATGCTTGGCAAGCACCCTGGGGTGCTGGCTCTCTTCTCACCAGACTTGTTTCGAAGAGAAGACTTA